CAATAATTCCCCAATACCATTGAATATCCTGCCCATATTCACATTTTTGCTGTTTCCCCCAGTTTTCTTTTAGAGTCGCTCTTTTAGAATCAGGATCCTGTCTAATTTCAAGCAGGGCATTTGTAGGTTTCTTTAGTCTCCTGTTTGACACAACAGCGCCCACTACACGCTTCTTTTGATGTTGACTTTTTTTTTGTAGTGGCTTTTTGGTTTTTTGTTTTTGTTTCTCACCTGTTATAGCTTAGACCAGTCTGGTGGAAGGTCCTGCATTCTGGATTTGTCTGATTTCTCATAGTGCCGTTGAATCTTAACCTCCACTCCCATGTTGACAGGAAGTTGGGGCCAAGGCTTGAATAGATTCAGGCGGGCTGTTTTTGGCGTAGCTACCCTCTCCCCGGCCCTGCCATAGCTGTGGGCTGCATGGTATTGGACATCCCGAATCTCAGCTTGCCCCACCTTAGGGATATGCAGTTTGGTCAGCTGGTTAAAGTTGTGACAGCCGGGTCTCTCCATTATAAAAGTGAGTTGAGGGGCGCCTGGGTGGCTCAGTCGATTAAGCACCCGAAGTCGGCTCAGGTCATGATCTCACAGTCTGTGAGTTCGAGCCCTGAGTCGGGCTCTGTGCTGACAGTCCAGAGCCTGGAGCCTGCTTCCAATTCTGTGTCTCCTCCTCTCTCTGTCCCTCCCCCCTCCTCAATCAATAAATAAATATTTAAAAAAATAAAAGCGAGTTGAGAAGCAGCCTGTGTGGAGTAGGTTTGTCCTTACGTGAGCGCTCTCTCTGCCACGGCCTTTCCCTAATGGGCTCAGCAGCCACTGCTGGTCGTGGCCTGAGTCAGTCCCTTCACCGGAGTTTGCAAATGGTGATTCTTGGGATACTATCATTCCTTCTATGTTTGTTATCAAGCATTTTTTTTCTGGAAAGAAGAGCTTTCCCTCGTTAGATGAACAAAGATGAGAAATGTAAATGATTAATCTTTCCTCTCTCTTTTAAAAATTAATTAAGTTTTAATGTCTATTTATTTATTTTTGAGACAGACAGAGCAAGTGGGGTAGTGGCAGAGAGAGAGGGAGACAGAGAATCTGAAGTGAGCTCCATGCTGACAGCAGCGAGTCCGATGCGGGGCTCAAACTCATGAACTATGAGATCATGACCTGAGCCAAAGTCGGACACTTAACCGACTAAGTCACCCAGGCGCCCCTTACTTAATTTTTGTTAGAGAGATAGAATGCAAGCAGGGGAGAGGGTCAGAGGAGAGAGATAATCCCAAGTAGACTCCACGCTCAGTGCAGAGCCCAGCCTGGGGCTCAATCCTATGACCTTGGTATCATGATCTGAGCTGAAATCAAGAGCAGACCGAGCCACCCTGGCACTCCTAATCTTTTCCATTTAATTGCTGATTTTCATCATAAGGTGTTGGCATAACTGGATCTTTTTGCTCTCTTCTCCTCTTTTTCCCCCTTAAATTTGAGTATCACTATAAAGTCATGGCTGTTTATTTATTCAGAATATCATAGGGCACCTGGGTGGCTCAGTCTGTTAAGCTTCTAACTTCAGCTCAGGTCATGATCTCATGGTTTGTGAGTTCGAGCCCCACATCAGGCTCTGTGCTGACAGCTCGGAGCATGGAGCCTGCTTCAGATTCTGTGTCTCCTTCTCTCTCTGCCCCTCCCCTGCTCTCTCTCTCTCTCTCTTTCAAAAATAAATAAACATTAAAAACAATTTTAAAAAAAGACAACAGAAATTTATTCCCCTGTGGTTCATGGAGGCCAGAAGTCTGAACTCAATTACATTTCTTGTTCTGTGAACTTTCTGCTCATGTCTCTTGCCCTTTTTTGCTATGAAATAATTGAGTGTGTGTATGTTTTTTTTTTTAAAGATTCCAAGAGTTCTCTGTATATATTAGAAAGCTTGTTCTATAAGTAGCAAATATTTTCTCTCTGCTGATTTATGTTCTGACTTTGCTTATTTTCTTCTTGCCACGCAAAAGATATTTTGTTTTCTTTGGGGGAGGCCATCTAGTTTGTAGGCCTTTTCTTCTGTTGCTTCTTTTTGGCCATTTTTAGAAAAAAATTTTCCCCATTCCTGAGTACAAAAAAATCTGCTCATGCTGTTTTCTTCTGGCACGCGTATGGTTTAGCTTTTGACACGTAAGAGCTCTGGCCCCTTGGGAGTTTATTCCGACATAGGGTGTGAGGTAGGGATCTAACTTGATCCTTTTCCAAACGGTCACTGCGTATTCTTCAGAGAAGGCACCGCTAAAATAGAACCTCTAGTTGTGAATGCCCGTGCTTTGCGGGGAGCGGTAAGTCTCACCATTACCGTGAGACTAAAATTGAGTGCACTGTGGAATATGGCCCTGCACACAGCATCGCAAGGGGCAGACTGAGGTGTGATGGGGGCTTGCCCAAGGAGACAGCCAGCCCAGCACCTCAGAGCTAAATTAGCAGGCATTAAAGTCAAGATGAAGCCTCTGCCGATACACTACAGAAAACTCAAACCTATAGTGGCCCTTCATTGCCTCCAGATACAATTCAAGCTTCTTGTTTAGTTTGAGGCCCTCCATATGCTCACCTTCTTGTCTTCTATTTCACACATATCTTAAATCTGACCATTTCTCAAGCAAACAGCCTTAGGTGGTCTTGCTCGAAGCTGGGTCTTCCTCCTGTGCAGGTCATCTGGCCCATCACCATTTAGCAAATTCCGGATAGAACCAGAAGCAAGGTTCAAACCCCGCCCCCACGGGCAAGTGGCCCTCATCACTCTGAGCGCAGCCTCTTTGCCGTTGTTCCTGGGCTGGACCTGACTCCACATCACAATATAATGCATCCCTCTCCCATCTCATCTGCTGGACTCAACGCTCCCCAAAGCAGGCGTAGGGGATTGAACAGTGTCCTCCCCCCAAATTCATGGAACCACAGAAGGTGGCCTTATTTGGACATAGGGTCTATATGGGTCTAGCGCAGTTTAGATGGAATCAGACTGGATTAATGTGGGCCCAGGATCCAGTGAGGCCGCGTGAAGACACCCAGGGAGAAGGTCACATGAAGACAGATGCAGAGACACATCTGTCTTGAGTGACACAGCTACAAACCACAGAAGGTCAAAGCTCGCTGCCCTGTCACGAGTCAGGCACAGGACATGTTTTCCACCAGAGCCTCCAGAATGAGCCAGCCCTGCCTGAAGCCCTTGCTCTCAGATCTCTGGCTTCCAGGACACTGGGAGAATACATTTCTACTGGGTTTGGCCCTCCTGGTTGTGGTAATTTGTTAGGGCAGCCGGAGGACACTCGGACAGCAGGGAACAATAATGATATCTATAGACACCCACACCGTGGCAGGTGCTCAGTTAAGTGCTGACATGTGTCTCATACCAGGCTGTCCCAGCAACCCTAAGAGTTAGGCAACCTAAGAGTTGGTCTCATGCCCATTTTCCCAATGGAGACACTGAACGTGGCCGGCGACTCATCCAGGCCACACGGCTGGGTTGTCGATGCGCGGTCCCCACTCACCTGGGCCTCTCTGGCCCCACCGGGCAACCTGGGCTGTGTACCGCCCACCTGTGGCCACCAGTTCTCCTTTCTAAGAAAAGGGTTGGAAAAGGCCTTTTTTTTTTTTTAAGTTTATTTATTTATTTATTTTGAGATGGCAGCGAGAGACAGAGAGAGAGGAGGAGAGAGAGAATCCCAAGCAGCTTCCACACCATCAGTGCAGAGCCTGATGCGGGGCTCGAACCCACAAACCATGAAATCATGACCTGAGCTAAAATCAAAAGTCGGACACTTGACTGACTGAGCCACCCAGGCGCCCTGGAAAGGGTAACCTGTTTTTTTTTTTTAAATGTTTATTTATTTTTTGGGGGGGGGGCACGAGCAAGCCAGGGAAGGGCAGGGGTGGGGGTGGGGACAGAGGATCTGAAGCAGGCTCGGTGCTGACAGTAGGGAGCCTGATGCAGGACTCAAACTCACGAACTGTGGGAGAGGGAGACAAGAATCCGAAGCAGGCTCCTGACTCCCAGCTGTCAGCACAGAGCCCGACACAGGGCTCGAACTCACGAACTGTGAGATCGTGACCTGAGTCGAAGTCAGACACTTAGCCAACTGGGCCACCCAGGTACCCCTTGGAAAGGACATTCTTAAGCAAAACCTCAAAAACCTCAAAGTGTAAGTCTCAAAAAAAGGAGGGGGGGAAGGAGGTGAATTTAATAACATCAGGATTAATGTCTCTCTTTCAATGTAATACAATGCAGTTACAGTTACTAGGACGATAATGGACTGGAGGAGACGCTGGAAATATCTGTTGCCAACAAGGGGGCACACAGTGAAAACAGAGAAGGCGCTCCCACAAATCAGCAAGGGAAAGACAGTAACTCTACTGGGAAAAAGGTCAAAAGATAAGAATCAGCAATTTATAGAGGAAGAAACCCACAAACATAACAAGAATATGAAGAAATGTTCCATCTCACTAGTCGAGGGAGGTAAATTAAACCAAGAATGTGTCAGGGCGTGTGGGTGGCTCAGTTAAGCATCCGACTTCAACTCATGCCATGATCTCCGGGTTTTTGAGTTCGAGCCCCACATTGGGCTCTCTGTTGTCGGTGTGGAGCCCATTCTGGAATTTCTGTCTCCTTTTGTCTGGCCCTCCTCCGTGTGTGCGCACGTTTGCATGCTCTCTCTCTCAAAAATAAGCGTTAAAATAAAAAAAAAAAAACAAGAACATGTCAGAATAGCCCTAGTATGTTGAAAATATGAAAAAGCTAGTTAATGCCAAGTGGTGGCAGGGACGTGGGCACTTTTGTGGACGGTAGCCCGGGGCAGTCATTCTGGAGAACAGTATGGTGATAAGACCGTGCAAAATTTTTGGAGGTGACGGCATCATGGGTGTGGGCCTCTGTCCACAGTCACCCAGATGTCTGCAGTTAAATGTATGCAAGTTTTAGTAATCAATTATACCCCAGTAAAACTAAAAAAAAAAATTCTCTAAAAACAACAACAACAAAGTTAAGTCCACTGGTTTTACTCCTAGGTACACATCCCAAAGACATTCTCAGCCGTATCAGTATAGTGATGTTCCTCCAGTGCTGTTTCTGATGACACGGGGTATCATTCCCTCCATGGGAGAGTGGAGGGCAGATCGGCGTAGATCCGAATCACTGAGTAATTGTCAGCCGTTAGAAGCTACTAGCTAGATGTATACAGAGCAACGCGCATAGAGCTTCAAAACAATGGTGAGTGGGGAAGAAAGTAAGAAACAGATTGGCGTCTAAAACACAAACTATTTATGTAAGTTAAAAATACACTCATACAGGGGTGCCAGGGTGGCTCAGTTGGTTAAGGGTCTGACTCTTGATCTCAGCTCAGGTCTTGATGTCAAGGCTGTGAGTTCAAGCCCCACATCGGGCTTTGTGCCGGGGGTGAAGCCTACTGACAAAGAAAAAGCACATGCGCAGATATGTGTATGGTCATATATGTATACAGCGTGTATACATATAATCTTTGTCTTTTGGACACAGTGCAGACAGCAAGGGGCGGCTGATGAGATGGGGTTCCAGGGCTGTGGAGGTCACTGCCAGAAACTTGGGCTTGGCCTTGCAGGAGGTGTGTGGTCATTGGAGGCAGGGTGAGTGGCATGAAGCTACATACGGAAAGCAAGCTTTTTTCAAGGACTCTGAAAATTCAGGAGATAGCAACTTATATTTCTTTTTCCATCTCTGTCTTGGTCTTCCTCTAGGTCTTTTCCATCTTTTGGCTGGACTTCTCTCTGAGGTTGATGTAGGCGATGGGGAAGTGGGGGGTCACAGCTCCTTCATCCAGGTTTATGGACCCTGAAGACGAGACACAATCTCTCTTTAGCATCCATAGATAGACTCAAGGAAGCACCCTGACTGGCCCAGCTCAAGCCACGTGTCCAGAGGCCAATCTCTTTGGCTAGATGATGGGGATTGGCTAGTCAGGGTGCCCATGGCCTCAGGGGGGTACTGTGATTGCGCCTAGGAAGGGGAGGGGGAGACATCGCACAGACAAACGCCGTGAGGTCTACCACGCACATCAGGTCAGCGCCACCTGCCTAGACCGGCTCAACTCCTTTGTTTCTTGTCACGTTCAGACAGGCGAACCAAGACTTTTAGAGAAAAAGTATCCAGGTAGCCAGGACTAAGAGTGGCTGGGGATGGTGGCCGGGCTGCCTCTGGCTGTTCCTCCTGGACTCTTGTCACAAGCATCTGGTGGTCCATATTGAGAGAACAATTACCATTCTTCTTCCAGACGCTGTGTAAACCGTAACAATGCAGTTAGGGCCCCCTTGAGGGCCAGCAGTTGATGAGCTCTGTGGATCACTGCTCCTTTCCACGGAGAGAACATTCCAGCAGGATGAGGTCAAAGAGCCAAGGAAAATGGGGGGAGGGAGTAAGGTTCCTGGGTTAGAGCTCTAGGTCACGCCTGGCCCCTGACTCCACCCCTTAATCTGGGCCCTCCAATCACTGGACTCTGAAATCTCTGAATGCACTTGAGCCCTGGCCCTGGTGTGAATGCAAAGGCAGTCTTCCGTTCCTGTGAAATGGTTTGTGGAGAAACCAGATCCTTCCCCTTCTCTCCCAACCTTTTCATCTCTGGACACCCCCCTCCCCCCCGCCCCTGCTGACGGCCCTTGAGTGGCTACAAAGTTCAACATTTGGCAGACCAGCTCCTAGAAGTGACGGATGCTGGCCATGAGCACGATGAACACAGTAACAGAAGTAACATTTATTTATTTAAAAAAAATTTAATGTTTATTTTTGAGAGAAAGAGAGAGAGAGAGAGAGAGAGAGAAAGCGCAAGCAGGGGAGAGGCAGAGAGCAAAGGGAGACACAGAATCCGAAGCAGGCGCCAGGCTCTGAGCTGTCAGCACAGAGCCCGACGCGGGGCTCGAACTCGGGCGACACGAGATCATGACCTGGGCTGAAGTCAGACGCTCAATCGACTGAGCCACCTAGGTGCCCCCAGAAGTAACATTTATTGAACTAGGTTTTACCCTAGTTATAGCTTCAGGTCTCACTGATTTAACCTCAAATCCCAACGATGTAGGCAATACTATTACCCCATACTGTGAATGAAGAAATTAAGGCTAGGTCAGTTAGTACAACGGCAGAACCCTGCATTCTAGCTCTGATCCATTAGAATCAAGAACTCTTGGCTTCCCCCGACTGCTTCCATAACCACGTTAGACTGGTTGAATCCCCAGCTCCATACTCACCTTCCCCATAAGCCAGCACGGTTATAAAGGTTGTACACTGCTCAACCCAAGAGGATTGGGGGTAGAGGATAGGGCTGAAACACGCCCTGGGCTCTGCTCACATGGTCTCCCAGAAGGGGTGTCATTAATTCTCACAAAGCACCATACAAGCCAGCAGTAAACCCTACTTGGGACCACGCTGGGCCTCTCCGAATTCTGACAGCACCCTCTGTCCTGGCCGCTCAGGCACCTGGCCCCTTAAATCACGAGCTGTCTTGCATTGTGACCCAATTGGTTCCCATGACAAAATTTGTTATTACCATCAGCCGCCCAGCATGTACTGCTTCTAGGCTCTTGATTCGTTGGTGCTTTCCGCCTGGAATGCCTTTTTCCTCCCGATCGCCTCTCCCATTTCTAGCTCATAAGACCTACCTTTCCTTTGAAAACAAAGCAGATGCCCACTCCTTCCAAAAGCCTTTCACATCCCGCCGTGAGGCTCAGCTCACTCTCTGCCTGCTCTCTCATGCTACTTGAACTGCTCCCAGTGGCTATCGCATCCCGCCTCTGATGGAGAACATCACCTGTTGGGCCGTACTAGTCTCAGGACTGGAATTCTCACTTGAGCAATGCTATCATGCCCATTTCACAGAGGAAGAAACTGAGGCCCAGCCGACTTTAAGACTTGTCAGGTCCACACAGCTAGGAAATAGAAGGCACTTTATGAAGGCTGCCTTATTTTAAAGCTGTCTGCCCTGATTAGGGTGGTTGATCGGGTCTGAAGCCTTGGCAGCCCGAGGGCAGACGCCAGTGTGGTCCCCTTCACGGTCCCAGAGGCGGGCTTTTTGCAAATATTCCGCAAAGGAACGAAGGCTGCCCTGACGGAATGAGCTGCCACTCCCCCAAGGCTCGAGAGCGGACCCTTCACCCACGCGGGCCCCGGGGGCTCTTTGGGGAACATGATCGCAGCTCTGCGGCGGGTTTGAGAGAGAGACCCTGGGGGCAGGGAAACAACCGGGAGGGCTAGGGCAAAAGGGGTGCGGGGGAGGGCAGAGGCACCCCAACCACACCCAGCCGGGCCACCTTGTTTACGCCTCTAGCACGGCCCCTCCCGCCCGCCCGGGCACGTGACCTCCGCTCCGCCCCTCACTCCCTCGCGTGGCTCCTCCCGCCGCGCCGGCCCTTCTTTTCGCCTCCTTCGGAGTCACAAGATCTCTCAGCGGCCTCCATTCGGGATCCTTCCGCCCGTCCCCGCCCCCCTACCTTACAAACTCCCCTGGGCTTTTTCTCGGCTGGTTCTCGTCATCAGTAATGCGCAGGACGGCCTCTTCCGTCCAACGGGGCTGCCGGCCGCGGTCACCTGCCGCTGGGGTCGAAGGGGAGGCGAGACCCGACTGGGCACTCTTTTTCGTGGCGGAGGCTGCGGCGGTCGTGGGCATTTCACGACGGGGGAGGTGCTGTACGTCCAAGATGGCGGCGCCCTGTAGGCTGGAGGAACTGTGAGGTAAACAGCTGAGGGGGAGGAGACGGTGGGTGAGTATGGGGGTGTCGCCCCCTCCTTTTCTCGGGGGCTTCGCGGGGCATCCCTGGCACCACGACCCCGGTCTGGGAGGCCCCGAGGGGCTGGGGCAAGGGGCTCACTTGCTGGAGAGGGAACCCCGGGAGGGGGTGTTCGGAGAGCTTTCCCCTCCCTCTTATTACGCGCTGTCTCTGGCGGGGCCCCGCAGAGCTGGCGAGTCCCTGGGGACGCGAGGCGGGCCGGACCAGCACTTCGCCCCTCCTCGGCGGCCGAGGGGACGGCTGCACCCCTGGGGCGTGGTGCCGAGGGCAGGGGTGAGGCGGGCCCCTTCGCCAGCCCCTCATTTGGTGGGGTGACAGGTTCCCGCGGGTTGCGGGGGGCAGGGGAGAGACCCTCGGCCGGAGGGGCAGGGCGGGTGGGGGAGGGCGGCTGGTCCTGGGCCTTCCGGAGAGGGGTCAGGGGTGGGGAGGAGAATGAATGGAGGCTGCCTGTGGGCATCGAGGGCTCGCCGGGACCCTGCGTGTCCGGCGGAATGTGCAGGACCCGGGTGCCTCGCTGCGGGTGTGCTTGTGGGTGTTTAATTGACGGTCGGAGACAGTTACCTTAAAGTCGGCAGAGGTGAACCTTAGGAGACAGCTATTTGCAGAGCCACTCCTAGACGCTCATTCATTCATTCATTTGAGGAACTGGAAGGTGAAGAGCCCGCGGTCCGAGAGACCTTTTACAACTCAAGCCCTTTGTGTTTCCCGTGCAAGAGTTTTGCTTCGTGTGCTTCGGATTTTTCGGGGTGGGGGGAGCGTGGGAGGGGGCGCGGCCCTGCCCCTGACAACCGCTCACGTTTATGGAGTACTCACCGTGGAAGTGCTTTGCGGTCATCGTGTCCTGCGGTCCTCGCGGCGAAGGGAAGAGACGGCCCCTGTTAACGCCTCCATTTCTCTGGAGGAGAAACTGAGGCCCAGAGAGATTAGAGTTAGTTGCCCAAGGTCACATCTCCAGGGTTTTCTGAGCCGGGGCTGCAGTAGAGGTCTGTGACTCCGCCGCGGGTCCCAGGACTGTGCTCCCGGCGTTATTTATGCTCCCCTGCATCTGTTTGTGCTCCCATTTATACGTTGCTTGACCAGAGCCAGCCTGTCATTCTAATTAAGTGATCGGAATTAGTCGGCCAGAGGTTGTGCACAAGTGCCTGTGTGTGTTGCATGTACGTGTGTCTAATTTTGGAGAGGGTACGTTTGCTTGTACACCTTAGCTGTGTGCGTGCAGTTATCGGTGCTTGTACACTTTAGCTTTGTTTCGGATGGCAGTGTTGTGCTTGTAAATATGTGAGTCTAAATTAGGCCGGCGAGTGTTTGATGTTTTTATAAAACTGGTGCCTTTACTGCAGAGAGAAGTCCGACTAAAATCCTTGCTGGTGTTTTTTTTTTTTGTTTTTTAATAGGAAGCCTAGAAATAGCACTTTGCTTTGCATAGAGTAAGCTGTAAAAATACTAAAATAGAATAATACTCTTCTGAGATACTTTGATTTATAATTTTGGGATCTACTTGGAGTTCTCGGAATTCAAAGGCGCTGGCAGGTGTAGCTGTAAATTTCAGGAAGCGTCATAAAACGAAATCTTCGGGGAACCCTTGATTTACTGAGCAAGCACCTGTGATTCTTAAGTTGAACATTCCTGAGTAAACCTGGAATATGCAAATATGAAGGCTGATTTAGGGTTGTGTAGGGAAATGTACCTTTAACAGTCATGCATCAGGCAAATGAGGCTCCCCAGAAACGCCAAAACATTCTTCGCTATTGCCCTGGGGAGCGGGCAGACCTTCCTCTAAGCACCTGGTGTAAACTGCAGGGGTATTTATAGAAGATGTAAAATGAAAATATCCTCCTACTAAAGTTAATATCTTACCTAAAACACTCTTACATCACGTGCCTGGAAAGGTGGATGATGTAAGCTTTCTTTACTTCATGCATTTCCTGGTGTCGGAAAGACTCGCTAGGTCTCTAAATTCCTAGTTAGACAGACTCCGAGGCGGCCACAAGCCTTCTTACCTCTCTCCATGACATTGCAGTGTCTCAGATCCTGTGACTCAGTTGGCCTTTTCCTCACTGGCTTCAGAGGGAGGACCTGTCCAGGGCTACTGTTGGCCGTGTAATCTGACGCCTTTTGTGCACGCTTGGTGTCATTTGTGAGCTGAAACTGAGCAGTCTTACTAGGACAAGTCAAATATATACTCGTCTGTGTCACGTTTACAGAATAACGAAATTGCGGGGAACACGCGATCTCAAGCAGTAGTGTTCATCAGGACCTCCTTGCACAGATGTCCAGCCCCACAGTAGGTGGGCCTGCATATTTGGTCTTCAAGGAGGCCCTGGAAATATATTTGGTAGAAGCCGTAGGTGATTCTGATGGACACCAGAGGGTGAGGACCAGTGGCTTCAAGTATCAATTTGGCTATTTTTCCTTTGATGTATAATTTATTGCAAAGGCATCTCCTAAAATAGTTTCTGACCTCTGGTGTGTGTATAGTGGTGGGTGAGTTTTGGGCTCTGAATTACAGCTGACTTGATCTTGTAGCTCCATCTTCTTTCCCCATTTGTTAGGGTACAGGTATGTTCTTTTCCAGGTTCCAGAGCCATAGTGGACTAAAATTAGCTTTTCCTGGAATTACTCATATATTCTTGGATGAAGATGAACAAAATGCGGCAGTACATCAACTGTTTTAGGCTTTGCTAAAAATCAAATAGCTCTTGACTTTTAACAAGCCACTGAAGTTCTCTAAGCTTGAGTTTCTTCGTCTGTGAAATAAGAAAGTTGGATTGTGAATTAGAGTGTTTCCAGGTCTACATTTCTGGGATTTTAGGCCCCCCTGGGACTTCAGTCAAACACTCTAACTAAATTGATTGAATCAAAGCGTTAATGGCTTTATAATAACTAAGCACGTTGGGGCGCCTGGGTGGCTCAGTCGGTTAAGGGTCCGACTTCGGCTCAGGTCATGATCTCACCGTTCCTGAGTTCAAGCCCTGCGTTGGGCTCTGTGCTGACAGCTCAGAACCTGGAGCCTGCTTCAGATTCTGTTTCCTTTTCTCTCTACCCCTTCCCTGCTCACACTGTGTCTCTCTATTTCTCAGAAATAAATAAACATTAAAAATAAACAGGGGCACCTGGGTGGCTCAGTCGGTTGAGCGTCCGACTTCAGCTCAAGTCATGATCCCATAACTCATGGGTTCGAGCCTGCGTTGGGTGCTGTGCTGACAGCTCAGAGCCTGGAGCCTCCTTCTGATTCTGTGTCTCCCTCTCTCTGCCTCCTTCCCCACTAACGCTCTGCTCTCTATCCCTCCTTCAAAAATAAACATTTTAAAAAAAGAAATTCCTTCAAAAAAAAAAAAAAAAAAGCAAAAACCTCGCACATGGCTGACTCCTAAGCCTGACCCATTGAGTGATGACTTGTGTATTCTTTCCTTTGTATCACATGATACTTTAAAAGGTAACCCCCTATAAATTTTTCATGTTTTAAATCTCTTTTTGAGAGATTGGTTTTATTTGTATTAGTTGTGTTTGTTATGTGAGGTGCTGAGATTAAACATGAAAGCAAAGTATACTCAGTAACATTCAAACCTGTAGCTTTTTGCTTTAAAAATATGTGTGTGTATAATCAGCATATACTCAACACTTGAGATTTCCCCCCTGTGTTTAGTATAATTTAGTTTGCTTGACAATACTTCTCATTTTTTGCCATTTGAATTACTCTGAAAGAGGTCTGCCATCAGCTATTTGAGATGATCCTTTTTAAGCCTATAGTTACTAGAAATTAGTCATTAAATATCTAATGTCTATGTTTTTTAGGGGGAGAATAAAAATCACATGTATGTGTGTATAAATAAATTAAAGATACATGATCTTAGGACCTCGCCAGTTTCTTATTGTCCCTTGTGCAGCGCTAACTTTTGTTCTGTCCTGGGAACCAGCAAAAGGTAACAGAAAACTTTTTAAGGTTGAATGAATTCAGATTATCATCTAATGAGTAAAGTGCCTTAAAACCCCAGCTTTGATACAGAACACGGCCTGGTACTGCTGGCCTAGAGCTCACAGGTCACTTTCTAAAGTAAAGATTAAGGCAATAGAGACCATGAAGCATTATTTGAGTAACAGGGGACGATTTTGCCTTTCTCTTGGTGACAGAAGGCTCAGTAGGGGGTGATAAGGAGGAACAGATGCGGTGACCCTAGTGTCTGCATTAAGACTGCTACTACTTTGAATAGTTCACAGAGCACAGCAGCCAACGTGAAGTGTATCCATTTGGAGTTACGGAATGGGTTTTATCATTGTTGCACATGCAAGTTGTTACATGGATAGACGGAAGCCTCAGGTGCCCAGCAATACATTTCATTTAGTAGTAATATTGTTATAATCAAGTTTGTATTTATTGAGTACTTATGTGCCTAACCCTGCTATTTTACATGCACAATCCCCATTAACTCTTCCCACAGCCTTAGGAGACAGGATAGGAAGATGAGGAAACTGAGGCCTAAGGTCCCTTCCACAGCTTCTGAGCTGGGATTTGAGCCCTGTT